CAAGTAAAGCAGATCCTTTAACCAATTGTCTGAAAACAATTGTAGTATCTTTTCTTCTGCCTTAGGCTATGCGCCAACCCTACATCCTCATATCACCCCTTCTCTATCACAATTTCTTATTTAAATATGGAATGGTGTATCCTTTTTAGCAGATTTCATGAGAACTCTTCAGAACCCCAGCTGGCTTTCTCACCCCTACCTTCCTGGTTCAGGTATTCCACTCGACCCCTGTCACTCTTTCTGTACTATTCGAAGAGTTATTTCCCACACTGTCTCAAGCCTTTGATGGCACGCATAATTCCACCTTGCTGAATAGGACCCTAAAAATCAGGATTCTCAAGCTTGATGGTAGAGTAACTTGGACCTAAAGATCCAAAGTAATTCTCATGGTCATGCCTTTGCCTCATGGACCATGTCTATGATCAAACACGTCTACTGTTAGTCAACAAGCTCTAGTCTCCGTCGCATCTATCGTGCTTCTATCCATAGTGCCAAATGTGTGATTTCCTGCAACACCTAAAATAGTCTTAGTTTGGCCCACAAGAGACTAGGGCATAGGATGTCATAGACTTGGTATTAGGGGTAGAAGCAGGATAGACGCAGTGGTGATTAGAGCTATTGGGCTAACAATAGACGTGTTTCATCATGGACATGGACCATGAAGCAAAGGCTTGGCCATGAGAATTACGCGAGCGCAGTAGCCTCAAGTTACTCTCCTACCCAGCAAGACGGGAGTAGGCGTGCCATCAGAGGCTTGAGATAGCGTGTAAAATAACGCTTCGAATAGTGGAGATAGGATAGAAGGGGTCGAGTGAAATACTTGAACCAAGAAGGTAGGAGGCGGATTCTACGGGGCATGAAGGAGACTCTGATAATACATATTTTAAGAGGATTGCGGCATAATATGGCAGATTCTGATCAGCATTCCCAGCACAGGGGTAAGGGGGGTAAGTGGGTGAGAAAGCCAGAGTGTGCGGTGGAAAGTTGTCATGACATCCGCCCAAAAGGGCACACCATACCACATTTAAGTAAGCAATTGTAGAAGTAAAAGTGTGATATAAGAATATACGATTGGTGAATAGCCCAGGGACGAAGGAGAGATACCATAATTGTTTAGCACACAATTGGTCTCTTGGACGAGTTGTAGTGTGGTGCAAAGACTGGCACACTGCTCACTAATAATGTCTGGGAATTTACCACTTCCACGGTACGACTCTGGAAATTATCATGTATTCTATAGACTCTGGACTAGGTGCATTCCCATATCTGCGAAAACAAGGTCAAACAACTTCTATAACGAGTTTAAGTTACGTTGCCGTGCATTCTCACTAAATTGGTGATCTCTTGTGTTGACTGAGACTCAGCCATTTCGTTGATCTACTAAACTATCTCAAATATTGTGAAAAAAATCATTTTCCCGTTTTCTAGATCAGTCTGCGTCAGAAAGTGAAACTAGTCTCTTCGCCATAATCCTTCTCTAGCTCTTTAAATCTTTCTATAACACTCAATGGACAGACGGCTACTTTCGATAGTTGAGCCTGAATTCCGTTTCTCGCATCTGTAACTTCAGTTGCCCGCGTGGCCAACTCGGACGTGCTCTTCTCCCAGGCCCTGTGAATCTGGTTGGAAGCTTCCAAGAGGACAGCCTCGATCTCTTCACGCACTTTGCGGCTGGCGGCACGTTCATTATGTGCCCGACGAATGTTAGCCTCGGTGAAGGCCAACCACGTGGAAGGCACGCTTTGTCTGCACAAACCACAAAACAGAGAAAGTTAGCATTAGGGAGTGGGCATTCAGTCGTAATTATTGACAGTGAAGATGGCAATCAAATGTAATCCCGTTAGATAGTATTGCTAACGAAAACAAAGTTTATTTATCTTAGAATGATGAAATCGACTATAAAACAAGGTTATATAAAATTTGAAGACAATATATGTGTAAGGAAAAGATGTATTTTGAATAATGTCCTAGTAACTTACTGTAACTAAACTTTAAGATTAAAACGAATAGCAGGTTAAAATCTATTCGTAAATTAGCCGCCCTGGGAACTGGATGAGTTCCTTGGAGTTGAGAACGTTGGGCTGTGG